GCCGAGCCGCTTCGCCCAAGGGCCGTCTCCCAGACCCGCTCAACCCGCGTCAGGCCTCAGACCTCCACATTGGAGTCCAACCGCTAGGATGCTAAGGCGCAACTCCTTGCAACGCCACCCAATCTCGGGCTTCCGAAGGCCACCGACCCCCTCCTCCCCCCCCCACGACCCCGGATGTTGATGTGCAGCGTGCCCCGGAAGCGGTGGCCCAAGGCCCTTGTGGGGGCGGAGGCGGTGTTGCCTGGCTCTCCGGAAGGAGACGTGGCGGCGGTTGAGTCTCCTGCGCTGAGGAAGCTTGGTCGTCCTGCCGCCGCCTCCTTCTCCTCCTCCTACACCTGTTCTCCAAGGGTAGAGGAGGCTGTGACGGCGGCTGGAGGACGCGGCGACGGAGGATGGAGGAAGGAGGCGGCGGCGTGCGGAGCCTGGTCCCCGGAGGGCCGCTGTTGCTGGTCCTGTGCGGTCTCCTGGAGGCGTCCGGCGGCGGCCGAGCGCTGCCCCAGCTCAGCGACGACATCCCCTTCCGCGTCAACTGGCCCGGCACCGAGTTCTCTCTGGTCAGTTCCCTCGCTCGCCGCAGCCACGAAGCATTCAAGCCAAGCCCTCGGTTTCCCTAGCTTTCCCTTCCAGAACCTTTCTCCCCACCCCCAAGCATTTATCTTTTCCAAGCCGGTGCCTTCGTTCGTTCGTTCGTTTGTTCGTTCGTTCGTTCGTTCTTTCGTTCATTGACTGATTCATTCTACACACTATGTGGATGTGCCATCCATACTCAAAACTAGGAAATCCGGCTTCCCAACAGTCCCACTGTGTCGTTCCCAACAGTCCCCCTCTGTCGAGGAAGAATTGCGACCGACCACACACCACCCCTAGGCTTACTACGGTCCGGCAGACACCAGCCCTCTCTCTATTCATTCTTATTCTCCAACACATAAGTAGAAACAATTTATGCAGACGTTTGGCTTCTGGGAATCTTTTTCCCTTCGAAATCATTTGAGAGGGCTGTTTGGCTTGGAAGACGTTAGTAAACTTGTATGTGAAATACGATTGGCCATGCAGAATACATTAGACATTTTATTATGACTGCTATTTAAAAGTCTATAAAGGGAAGTTGTTTTTTTTTTAAAGGATTTTATGATCTTTACTTAATTGTGTGTATTGTGAAAAAGAGCTTCTGTACACTTGAGTACAACTGACCCTGGCCAGTGATTGTGAGTGCTGGGAACTAAACTCTATGAGAAGTAATACACGTTCTTACAGCTCAGTGGCAGAGCACTATCCTGAGGCACAGGCCTTCAGTTGAACAGCACCACAGAGTTACTTAAGTGATGGTATTACCATAACCACTTCACTTTTTATTTGCCTTGGCGTTTGCTTATGCTGTATCTTGTGCTACACTTGTTTCCTCTACCCTTCTGTTACTTTCTGACCATATTCTTGTATTCAAGTAAACATTTCCCTGAAAAGTTAGGACTGTCTTTGTATTAATGCCATGATCTATTGATATTTGCTTTTTATTGGTCTTCAGTATTAAAACACTTGTACAAAACATTACAGGCCTGAGGAGATAGCAACAAAAATCTAAGGTGGATATACTTGAAGACTCGGGAGTTCTAGGCTACTTGTTTGTTTTTCTTTTTGTTTAGTCTGAATTATTTTGAGAAAAAAAATCTAGATGCTTTCTCTAAATTCGGACAAGTAAGCTTTCAATAGTTGATCTTTTGAAATTCTTAAATACTTCTGTAATCTTAATACTTCCCTTCCTAGCTTTATTTAATTGAAATAACTGCCCTCTTCACATGGTTGCTGGTTATTTTTATGGGTCGGTTGGACATTTGTAACTAACTCAGCAGCTGTGTGAACTAGGATAAAGTCTTTTGTCTAACATCCAAAATTGGCAGACACTGAATTAAAATATCTAGGGTTTTTTTTTTCTTCTTAAGCCTATTGTTGTAGTTGCTTTCTTGCTTTTGTTGAGACAAGGTCTCATTGGATTCTATCTTGAGGATATCCTCTGCCTCAACCTCCAAAGAACTGGGATTATGGATTATAGGCATGCAGTACCATAACTGACTCGTCTAGTAACTTATACTCCCAAAATATATGTAGATGAAAATAATTAAAAGTGTACCATGTAAAAATGATTTAAATGATACCTAGTGATTCTCATAAGTGACTCACTGGTCCAGAGAGGTTTTGCTGTTGCATCCACTGTATTGAAAACTAGCCAGGAGGTGGTGGCTCACTCCTTTATCCCAACACTCTGGAGGCAGAGGAAGGTGGATCTCTAATTTGAGACCAGCTTAGTCTACATAGCAAGTTCTGAGCCAACCAGGACTATACAGTGAGGCCCTGCCTCAATAATATTAATAGTAATAATAATAATAGTATTAAAATAGTCTTTTAATAAACTAAAAATAATCATCTTCCGAGTAGGTGGCACATTCCTCTAATTCCCAATACTTGATAGGTAGAGACAAAAGGAATGTTAGGGTCTAAGAGAAGCCCCCAAGAAAAGCCCAACAGCTATGCATGTCAAAAGGCCATGGTAACCTGCTGAGCCAGCAGAAGGTCAAGAGGACACCTGTTGACTAGTTGCCCCTGAATTGTGGTTCTACCTGAGTACTGTTGACTCAGCTCCAGCCACCTCCAATAAACTGAAACTAAAGCCTGGTCTCCATCAGGGACCATTGGAAATCTGTCATGGTTCTGATCTGGCTCCTGACTCTCTCAAGGCTAGCTTCGTTCATTGTCTATATAGGAAGTTTGAAGCTAGCTTGGATTACATAAGAACCTGTCTCCAGAAAGTAAATAGAATTTGGTCCCACAACTCTTAATCTTCAAATGTTTTAATTACCTTATCACCTATAATGACCTTTTAAACAAGTATCCTTGGCCATTAAATATATGTAGTATTAGAATGTATGTTAATAAATGCTGGCTGAAATATGTTAAAACAATAATAAGCACACACCCATGGATCGGACCTGCTTGGCTTCTCTGAGCTCTGCTCCATCTAGCTAGATTAACCACTGGACAAATTGTTTAAGCTCTGACCCCAGAGTCCTTTTCTGTAACAATGAGTATAATGCTTCATTTGAGGATGATGAATTAATAAATGCAAAGGAGTTAAAAGAAGATATTTGGTTCTACATGCTACATGTTAATATCTGCAAGTTGTGTGTCTGTGGATTCACTCAGCGTAGCATCAGAATTCTCAGGAGAAGAGATGGTAGCATATCTATAATCCCAATACTCAGGAGGCTGAGGCAGGAGGATTGCTGTGAGGTCAAAACCACTCTGACCTCCATAGTGAGTACAGGCAAGACCAACATGAGGTATCTAGCAAACCTTGTCAACAATTTAGGAGGCAAAAACAGGAAGATCTCTGAGAATTCAAGGTCATCTGGGTCTATACATCAGGTTCCAGTACAACTGGGGCTATACAGAGAGACCCTACATTAAAAAAAAAAAAAATTGTCAATACCAACAAAAATCAGAAGGAAACAATTAAGTCAAAATAGAAGGCATATAGACCTTTTCTTCTGGTTCCCTAAGAAGAAAAACAATATAACATGTAGTCAAACATTAACATTCCATTAGTTTTGGAAATTATCTAGATATGATTTAAAATATAAGGGAGGTTATTACATAGGTTATATTCAAATCTGTGCCATTTCTATAAGTGACCTGGGTATTTGCAGATTTGGTTGTGGAAAGCAGGATGCCTAGAACTTATTCCCCAGGCTTCTAAGAGCTAATAATACTGCCTGTTTTCTTTTATTGTCTTGAAAAACATTGCCCTAATTGTCATTTATATTTAAGATTGTGTTGGTTCCAAGTAGTATTGGTTTAAGTATACTGAAGTTTACTTGAAAAGAGAAAAGAACAGGCACACTTACTTAACAGAAAGCTGATCTTTCCTGGCCAGTAAGAGCCAAACAGGCAGTGGCTTTACAGCATTACAGGAAGAAAAAAGTGAAGAGACTTGAATTATCATAAATATGTATCAGAGAGAACAGGTTGCTTTTCAGTAAAATGTTATCAGTTACATTAATAGAAGTGTTTGCTTAAAATATGTTGGTTTGTAGGAGAACTGTGCATTTGTTTTTATAGTATAGAAAGATTAAAATTTAGTAAGAAAACTGACACATGAGTGACACATAACAGCTATTATGAGAACTGACTACATGTTTTTATAGTTTTGTTAATAGCCATGCCTGTTTATTTACATATTACCCATGTACTTTGTTGCTAGGGTGACAAGAGTTACAACAGGCTATAATGTCCATAAAGCCTAAAACATTTACTCTCTGGCCCTTTACAGTGAATTATACTGATTCTTGATATATATTTAAAAGAGTATGTCAGCACACAGAGGATCCATGATAACTATTCTTTTTAAAGGAAGTTATATATTCCCAAATATGTGAATATAACTATGTTACACTATATTCTAGTGTCCCATCCAACCAAATTCTGAGCACATTTGTAAAGTCCTAAGAATTGTAAGATACAGATCGTTTTTTGCTGACAGAAGTTATAGGTATCCAGTGACAGTGTTTTTGTGACCATTCTTGGTCTCTTGAGCTAGGGGTATAGCTCAGTTGCATGTCCCAAACTTTATTTTTTCTGTTAGATTGAACAACAGGATCCAGTGTATCTCCACTCTATCATTTAAAAATGTGTATACTATGTTGCCTGCCTCTGAAAATATGCTTTAAAATCTTCAGTTGAAGCCAGGCAGTCCCAGCTCTCAGGAGGCAGAGGCAGGCAGATCTCTATGAGTTCAAGACCAGCCTGGTCTACAGAGCTAGTTTGGGACAGCTAGGGCTGTTACACAAAGAAATCCTGTCTCAAAAAAACAAAACAAAAACATCTTCCATTGAAATGATTTGAGGAACCTTTGTTCTAACTAGTAGTGAATTTATTCAGTGTAATGTACTTTAACTGAAAAAAATGTATATTTTTTTATTCTGTTTCTAGCCTACATCTGGAGTTTTATATAAAGAAGATAATTATGTCATCATGACAACTGCACATAAAGAAAAATACAAATGTATACTTCCTCTTGTGACAAGTGGGGATGAGGTACGTTTTTTATACATACATTGCTAATCCCTCTCACCAAATATATGTATTTTATATACTATATAAAATAGTCATATACTTTAAAATTGAGTAACCAGATTCTCAACAGCCTTGTAGCATAAAGATATTAATCCCTTATTACTGTTTTCTTTGATTTGGGATTCATTTTGGAAAAATTAGCAACCAGCTAGGTGTGGTGGTTCAGACCTGTAATCTCAACATTCAGGAGACTGAGGCAGAAGGCTTGTCGTGAGTTTAAGGTCAGCCTGGCCTACATTGTGAGACCTTGTCTAAAATTCCAAAAAAAACCGGGGTTGGAGGGGGGAATAAGTTATTACTGTTTTGAATAAAAAGCTAACTCTGTGCTTGTTTTCCTTTGTACAAATGATGGTTTTCAAACACAATATAATATTTCAATGTAAACTGTTTTCATAAAGAATTTCTTATAATAAATAATTCTCTAGGTACCTTATGCTTTCTCACTACCTTAGCTCATGCCCTTTTCTTTCTCCTAAAATGCCCTAACTGCCTCTTATCCATCCTTCAAGGCAATGACTTCTTTCAAGATGAAACAGGAGAGGCAGCATGGTTAAATGGAAAGGACACCAGCCTAGGAGCCAGGAGGCTGAGGTATAGGCTACAGTTAGCTGTGGATCCCTAAACAAATTTGAAACTCAATTCCTCCACTCAATGAATTTATTAAGCCAATTTACATTTTCATGGTCTGTAAAGTAGAATATTAAACCCAATGCTTTTCTTAAGTTTTGTTCATATTTGAAATCTGTCCAAGGCAGCTGCTCCATGCTATTTTAAACCCCTTTAAAACAAAATACACCCACATAAACCACACAGGTGGTTCAAGTCTGAAGTATTAAAATATGTAGGAAACTGAAAAACACCTTTCCACAATAGAACCATTCTAAAACTTTCATAGCTAGAATTTTTGGGGGGATATAGGCGATTAAAAATTCTAAAATAAGTTTACAAGGATTTCTTAGAAAACTTATACTTAAAAACATTTTTTTAAAAAAGAATGAATGCTATGGAAGATCATTCTATGGATTCATATTTTATACTTCAGTTCATTTGAAAGAAGTAACATACCATAGGATCTTATTGAAGATGTTGACTTTTTTCTCTTTTATTTCCAAGCATTTGTGATTTAACCAATGAATTAATAACCAAACAGCAGAGTTGGATGAAGTTCTAGAAAAACTATATGTTAAACTCCACTTTTTTTCTTAGGAAGAAGAAAAGGATTACAAAGGCCCAAATCCAAGAGAACTTTTGGAACCACTATTTAAACAGAGCAGTTGTTCCTACAGAGTATGTATTTTATGTACATTTGAAAGTAAGTCTCTAGCAGCCAGTAGATCCTTAAAATGGCTTTTCATCTTACTTTATTTTGTTATATCACATTTTAAGTTAGGTGCAAATCATACTGCTTGCTAGTATGTTGTTCATTTAAATTATTATACGTGCAGTAGATAGTACACTGATATCAAAGTGTCAGTTACTAAAATACTTAGAATGTTTTCTAGTTCAAAGAAAAGCTTTCTTACATGATAGAATTATAAAATGCTAATTGCAATTTTTAAGCTATGTAGAAAAGTAGCCAGGTAATTATTACACACCCAAATACATTATAGCTCTATTTCTGTCACATAATCTTCTTACAGAACCAATTAGTAGAAACCAAATGCCATTCAGAAGTTTTGCCATTTTGTGTGGCATGATTATAAGTGCCACTTCAAAAAAAATTTATTCTAGGTTTGAGGGAGAATCTGCTCAGCTGCTAAAAATGTCAAGTAAAATTCAGTTAATTACATGTTTTTATGTATTTAAAAGTATATGTCTTTCTTAGATTGAATCTTATTGGACTTATGAAGTATGTCATGGAAAACATATTCGACAGTACCATGAAGAAAAAGAAACTGGCCAAGTATGTTTTCCTTGAAATATAAAACATAAAGTAAATTTCATAATAACATTGATAGTTTCTAAGTTTTAGCTAAAGAAATATGTTTGTAAAATACTTACTGTATTTTTTTTTAATGTAGAAAGTAAATATTCATGAATACTATCTTGGGAATATGTTGGCTAAGAATCTTCTGTCTGAAAAAGGTTAGTCTCTAAAAGTGATGATAGTACTACTGGGTTTTGGTTTAACGTTTAAGTCCAGGCATGGTGGTACAGTACTGTAAGCCTAGAGTTTTGGGGTAGAAGCAGTAGGATCAGGGATTCAAGGCCATTCTCTTTACATAGCTACTTAGGTAACAGGAGACTGACTCAGAAAGAGAGAGAGAGAGAAAGGAAGGAAGGAAGAAAAGGAAAAAGAAATTTTCCTGGACATTATCTTTTTATACACTATCGTTGTTACAGTTTATTCCTTTAATGTACGTGCATGTGCCACTGCATGCATGAAGGAGTCAGAGTTGAAAACTCTGGGAATCAGTTCTCTCCTTTCACCATGTCATTCCCAGGAATCAGACTTGGGTCTTTCATAGACAGCCACTCTGGGAAAACTGACTTTAAAACTAGAAGGGCAAGACTGAGGAGAGTGTGTTTAAACACCCAGTACATATGAGACCCTGGCTCCAATACCCAGCAACTCCCACCTAAAAAGTAGTAAGACAAAATCTTGTTTTGTCTTCCTTAGAAAGAAGTTTAAGGTTCTAAAGCTGATTAAAAACAGTCATTTATATCATATAGATGTGATGTTCGTGTTGTATGTTCACCTTTTTCTTGCATTGTTTCCACAGAACAAGAAACAGAAGAAAAAGAAAAGTTCAGTGAGGCAAGTGATGTATTAATTTTTCATACTCCATTGGTAGGTATGACTTTAGTAACAGAAACTAGATGTACTTTGCATAATGCCTCAAGGAAATGACAGCTAGTTTTGCTGTGGAAAGTTCCATTGACAACTGAGCTTGATGACACCTTTAATTCCAGCATTCAGGAGGCAGAAACAGACAAATCTTTGTGACTGCTCTACCTAGTTCTGAGCCATCTTGGGCTATATATACAAGTGAGGCCCTGTCTCAAAAAAAAAAAAAAATAGATAAATAAATTATGTTGTAATCCTTCCGCTTACTTTTTAAATAACACCTAAATAAACTGTCAGTTGAGCCTGCTGCCACAAAGCTGTCATCCCAGCTTCTTGGGAAACTGAGGCAGGAGACACAAGTTCAAGGACTTCCTGACCTAACTACTTCCACATAGTAGAAGAAGAGAACCAGCTCCTGAAAGTTGTTCTCTTGCTTCCACACACACATAGCACTACATGTGCACATACATGCAATAAATAAAGGTAATGTCAAAAAAAATTAACAAGGAAGAGTGAAGCTACAGCCCAGTAGTAGAACACTGTCTAGCATGTATAACATCCTAAGCTCATCTCCACTACTAAAAGAATAATATCAGAATGTGTCTGTGAAATGCTATGATACCAATCTATTACCTCACTGCATAGTGGTGGTGCTTTCTATATAGCATTAGAAATAGTGGTAGTAAGAACATTTTTATTTCTTATTCCTCATCTCCTATGAGTGTAACAGATAAACTGCATATTTGAGTAGCAAACTACCTGCCTATATGGGCTTTAAAAACAGAGGCTAAGAGTCTTTTATCCATGCAGTGCAAAGCTGCCATGCATATGAGTATTTTAGGTATTTCATATATGTCTATCAAATGGTGGTTCAGAGTAGTATTTGTATAAAAGGAGCAATTCATGTAGTTCAAAGTGTTGCTGTTTTCTTTCTTTTCTTCCTTTTCACTATTTGTCTTACTTGGAAATCAGCCTTAAAACTTGTAGAATCTAAATTATAAAGAATATTCACTATGAGTTTAGTGAAGAAAGAGCTAAGCAGCCCAGAATAGTAAATTTTTGTTAGTTTAGTTTGTTTCTTCAGAACTATTGACTAGTTACTCATATTAATCATGTCTTTGTACTCTTCACTGAAATGTACATCGACTTTACATTTTAGCATCCAATAGTTTGTTCTGTATTATACTATCCCCAAATACATATTTGCTGAAGAACTTAAGAATCAGAACATTAGAGTTGACTTAAAGTATAGACATTTTCATCTTCTGTTTACAAATAAAATGTAGTTTCCTTTTAGAATAAATACTTCCCTCGTCCTCAGACCCACCTCAAATTTCTAATAAAAGGTCTACCTTTTTTTTAAGATCCCCACTAAAAATATTGAAGGTCAGATGACACCCTACTATCCTGTGGGAATGGGAAATGGTACACCTTGTAGTCTGAAACAGAACAGACCCAGATCAAGCACTGTGATGTATATATGCCATCCTGAGTCTAAGCATGAAATCCTCTCAGTAGCTGAAGTTACAACTTGTGAATATGAAGTTGTCATTTTGACACCACTTTTGTGCAGTCATCCTAAATACAGGTAAGATGTTCGTTCATTATTCTAAACATGCAGCGCACATGCGCTTTAAAGCGTTTATGTTAGCCTTAATGCCTTTTTTTCCTACTGAATAGATTCAGAGCCTCTCCTGTGAATGATATATTCTGCCAATCACTGCCCGGATCTCCATTTAAACCCCTCACACTGAGACAGTTGGAGCAGCAGGAAGAGATACTGAGGGTGCCATTTAGGAGAAATAAAGAGGTATGAGAATTAAGTAATTACAGCTCTCAGGGTTTCCTTTTCCATGTTTCAGAACCTGTATCGATGTGTTAATTTCTGTAACATAATAATGGCAATTATTTTATTGACTTCTAATTTTTAGTTCTAATTATTTAAATAATTTAAATTTTTCTTACGCCTTTCAGAAAATTTAACATTCTCATACAATTACACAATTTCTAAAAGTTGTATTTAAATTTATTTTATTTTTATGCATGTATGTGATACATTCACAATGTGTGTGCCTGGTACCTATGGAGGCCAGAAGAGAGTTTGATCCCCTGGGAACTGGAGTTACAATTTTAAGCTGCCATGTGAGGTCTAGAAACTAAACCCAGGTCCTCTACAAGAGTAACCAGTACTTTTAATTGCTGATCTATCTCTCCAGTCTCACACATAATACTTTCTAAGTATTAAATTTATAAGTAGTTGTTCCAACCAACTTTAAAAAAAAAAAAAAAAAAAAAAGGCAGCCGTAGCCCCAGCTCTTGTCATTTTACACTTGCGTCCTTTAGTCACCTCTGTGTACCTCCTCCTTCTCTTTATATACTGTCTTCTCTCTTCATCTGCTTGTTGGTCATGACCACATACTTTTTTTCAGTTAATCCCACTCATCATTTTTCAGTTTTTCAGAACTCTTATCTTCCCCACTACTTTTTAATTTCTTTTCCAATTGTAAGACAAGGTCTCTCTGTATCCCAGGCTGTCCTGGAACTCACTATGTAAACCAGGCTGGCCTCAAACTCAGAAATCCACCTGCCTCTGCCTCCCAAGTGCAGGAATTAAAGGAGTGTTCTACTACACCAGGTTTTCCCCCATTTCTTTTAAAGTACTGTGCTTAGAACAAGCATAATTTCTGCACAGTTTTTCTTCTTACAGTGTACAAAACAAACTATTTTCTATCCAAATGACCCCACCCCCCTAAAAAATTTAAAAAAAAAACACCTAAGTGTTGTTTTATTTGTTTTTTGAGGCATGGTCTCACTTTGTAGCCTTGGGCAGTCTGAGGGGTGCTCTCTCTGTCTCTTCTCCTCCCCTCCCTGCCACGACATGAATGTGCATACCTTTGTTTAGTATCTATAAGACAACAGCCAGATCTCTTAGCTATAGTTTTCCAGCAGAAAAAAATGCTTGATGATCTCTTTAGTTTTAAATATTATAGCCCTACATATTTCCCCTGATGAGTCTTTTCTTCACATCCTATGCACGTATGTACACAAATGCAAAGCATATACCTAAGTCACAAATATATACGTGTGTGTGTGTGTGTGTGTGTGTGTGTATTATTCATTTTTCATGGCTTGGTCAAGAGTATTCTCTTGGTAAAGTCCTCCCATTTCAGTTCTTCTGCAAAGTCAGTACCCCTTCCTTTGTGAGTCTTTAGCTCTGGGTGCCCTTATTACTTTGGATTTACTCTAGTAAATTATAGGTTCCCCCAGAGCAACAGCCAGATTCAGCTACCTTTGAGTAATTATAACTGATGATTCTATATATTCCCAACCAACTCCTTTTCACCCTACTTTACCCTTAATGACTTCAACAAAATGTAAGGATGCAAAGCTTATAGTAAGTGTCAGAGTGAAGGCAAGAAGCAGGTGAGAAATGTAAATGTTCCCTATGTGTGCCAGAGGATTATCATACTTGTTACTTGAGGGTCAAACTAACATTTGTCTTTACTTTTCTCAATTGTCACAAAGTCCACTTTCTTAAAACCTTAAAATTAAGTGGAAAAAAACTCTTATTTTTCCAAATTTCTGTTAAATTTTAAAGTAATAACAAGCTGTAATTGGAAAACATGTCATGAAAGCTCTTAAACACATCTGGTTAAGGCAGGCATTGGTGGTGCATGCCTTTAATCCCAGCACTCAGGAGGCAGAGGCAGGTGGATCTCTGTGAGTTCGAGACCAGCCTGGTCTACAAGAGCTAGTTCCAGGACAGCCTCCAAAGCCACAGAGAAACCCTGTCTCGAAAAACAAAAAAACAAACGGAAACAAAAAACCAACAATCTGGTTAATTTTAGGAAGATTTGACATCTGCAAAGGAAGAGAGATTTCCAGCCATCCACAAACCTATTGCTATTGGCTCTCAGCCATTGCTCACCGTTGGAACAACCCATATATCCAAGCTGACAGATGACCAGCTCATAAAGGAGTTCCTTAGTGGCTCTTACTGCTTTCATGGGGTAAGAAAGTGAAACTGTAGTTTAAATATTTACCTTGCAACCTTATACATGGCAGTTACTAACCCATAGTCATTGGAAGAACTAAACAAGTGCCTACAGAGAAATGGCAGGATCCTGCCATCTCCAATGACATTTTTTATATAGTCCTATTCCCCCACATCTCTAAAGTCTAATCCACACCCATTATATTCTCTCTACCCATAAAAACTTGACTTTTCCTATAGCAGCATATATGATTTAGGTTGACTGTTAAAATGGACATTACTAATTTATTTCCGCACATTTTGGTTATGTAACAGTTACAATTCAAGCTTAAGCTAAGCTTAAAAGGTAATGTTTTGCTTCTGACTATTAAAACCAGTGTAAATACACTCAAAGGTGAAAATTTTGTCTTATGTATTTTATGAAAGAGTGAATATTTTGTATTTATCTCTTTTTTTTCCTTTTAGTGAATTTTTGTTGCTGTTTGTTTTTTCTTCCTTCCTTATTTATTTTATTTATTTGTTTGTTTGTTTTGGAGACAAGGACTCACATACAGCCCTGGGTGGCCTGAAACTCACTGTGTTTACCAGACTGTCATGTTTTGTTTTTGTTATACTATTGATTTTATAAGTTATAAAAATTACATATATTTCCCACTGTCATGTGGCATTGTTACATCATTCTCCCTTCTCTATGAATAACTTTTATCTATTTGTCTCTTTTAGGGTGTTGGTTGGTGGAAATATGAATTCTGCTATGGCAAACATGTATATCAATATCATGAGGTATAGAATAACATTTATGTCTTTCTGCTACTGGATAGAACCGGGGTTGTTTGTTTGTTTTGCAGTGCTCAAATCCAGGGCCTCATGAACATGTCAGGTGCTCTTAACATTGAACCACATCAGCTGCCCTGAATTAAAGTTTTGAAGTCTGTGACAGACTGGTAATTTGGCTCAGCAGTTAAGAGTATACTGCTCCCAAGTTTGATTCCAGGCTTGTTTGTGAGGCCACTCAGAACTTCCTGTTAACTCCAGCTCTAGGGAATCCAGTGCCCAGATACCTCTACAGGTATCTGTACTCAAGTGTACAACATCCACATATACACATAATTTAAAAAAATAAATAAATCTTTACAGTCTCCTCTGGGAAAAAAAAAGGGCATTAATATTACTTTTAATTATGAGATGATTTTAATACCCAAATACTAGCAAGAGTTTTCCCACTTTTTAGAAACTGGAAGGCTTAATATTAACTGATTCAGTCATCTTGGAGGAACATTGCTCATTAATTACCCATATTCTTAAATTATCATGAGCCTGTGTTCTAATTTGAGGAGTTATTTTTATAATTCATCTTTAAGAAATGAATAAGTAGCAAGATAGTACATTGATTACAAAATCAAACTTGATAAATATACCAAGTTCCTCAGATAAAAGAAAATACCATTTCATCTTTTTTTTTGAGGTAGAGTTTCTAACCCAGGCTACCTTCAAACTCCCTTCATAGGTGGGGAAGACTGAAATTCTGATCCTCCTGACTCCACCTCCTGAGTGCTAAGATTACATGTGGTCCCTGCTATACCCCCTTTTTTATAAGGAGCTAGGGATCAAACTCAGGCCTCTGTACATTCTAGGCAAGTACTCTATGAACTAAGCTGTATCCCCAGTCTACTATGATAATAGTTTAATGAGCATTTTAGATAGTTATAGGGATCCACCTGCCTCTGCCTCCCAAGTACTGGAATTAAAAGCAAGAGCCGCTACCACCTCCAGGCTTTTTTCAAGGTGATGGTGTCACTTGGGTTGGGTTGGGTTAAGTTGAAGGTTTTGATTTTTTGTTTGTTTGCTTGGGATGGGGTTAGTTGAGATTTATCTTTTGTTTTATTTGTTGTTGTTGTTTTGAGACTGGGTCTTGCTAGCCCAGAATGTCTTGATTACTCATTCCCCCTAAGTGGTAGGATTGCAGACATGTGCCACCAAACCTAGTGGCCTTTTCCAAGGTCACTCAGTCTGTAACTTTCTGGTGGATCTATTAGGTACTTTGGAAGATAATGACAACAATTAGCAAGCATAGTGCTGACTATATGCCAGATACTAAGTACTTTCTACATGTTAGCTCATTTAATTCTCATAACACCTTTCGGAAATCAGTCCTGTTACTGCAAGGTTCAGAAACAGGGTTTAGTTCCTTCCTAAAATTCCATATGCAGTAAATGATAAGGCTGGAATTCAAACCCAGGTAGGCTTGTTCCCTATCCAGCTTCTTAGACACTTTGCTGTTCGAATTCCTGTCTGGAAATTAACAAATCTAGTTGCTGGTGGGGAGCAGGAGGGATATAATAGCTCTTTTCCATTAGGCAATAACATCTACTAGGGAAATGGCCCTGCATATTTCACTGGACAATGAGTGGGTGTATTATTGCCTAGTGTGGTTATCTGGCATAAAATATGAAAAGGCCACAAGGAATAAGAAAAGAAAAAGGAGATGAACTTACTTTTATAAACAATTCATAGTATTATTTAAATAATACAGGAAAGGGATTCTGCACAGTTTTTATACAGAAATGAATTTACCATAAAATGAGTTACGGAGATTGTAAAACTTCAAAGTTTTTATATAGCAGTAGAGAGGTAAAGTGAAGATGAACTTCAGAGTAAGACATCTTAGTCCGTTTTATACTGCTATAAGAGAATACTACGAAATAGTTAACTTTTTTTTATTTTACATACCAATCACAGTCCCCCCTCCCACTCCTCCCCTGCCTTCTCCTCAGGCCACCCCCATCCATTCCTCTGAAAGGGTAAGATCTCCCATAGGGAGTCACTAAAACCTGGCACATTAAGTTGAGACAGTTATTGCTCATGATCACCAAACGATCTCTACAGCCCCCAAGCTCTCTCAGCCTATTTTCCTCTTGGTTTGTGTCATTAGATGAAGCAGCAAGAAGGCCTTGCCAGATGGCAGACACTTTGATAACAGACTTTTAAATCTCTAGACATGTGAAAGCTAGTAGTTACAGCCATCTGTAGCTCTGGTCCCAGGAAATCCAACATTCTGTTCTGGTCACATGGGCACCAGATATGCATACATACATGTAGGCAAGACACCCATACACATAAAATTAATTTTGTTGTTGTTTGGTTTTGGTTTTTTTGTTGTGTTTTAGTTTTTTGATTTGGGGAGGGGAGGTTGTATTTATTTTGTTTTTGAGACTGAGTTTCTCTGTAGCTTTGGGGCCTGTCCTGGAACTCACTCTGTAGACCAGGCTGGCCTCAAAATCACAGAGCTCCACCTGCCTCTGCCTCTCAAGTGCAGGGATTAAAGACGTGTACCACCACAGCCTGGATGAATTAATTAATTACTTTTTTAAGATAGAAACTCAGAGGCTCCTCTTATAAGGACACAGTACTCAAGACTTAAATATTCTCCATTAGTTTGGTTCTACTTCTACATTGAAATTCTAGGAATTAGTTTTACAACACGTTTTGGGGGAGATAGATTCAACGCACAACAGAAATTCAATTCAGAATCACAGTAGTAATGCTAGGGCTATAACTTGGTAAAGCACTTCCCAGTATGCACAGTTCCTGGGTTTGATGCCCCTCTCCTCTCAAAACAGTGTAGTATTATATGATTGTGTAAAGTAGGTATAATCAATTAAATTTTTGGTTGGAAGGGGTAAGGTGTTGGCAGTGAAAGTATTAGAGAAGAATCCAAAGAGAAAGAGTCTGGCAGAATGGCTCAGCACGTGAAAGAACTTGCCATATAAGTCTGACAACCTAAGTTTGAGCACCAGATCCTGTGGTGGAAAGAGAAAACCAGCTCCCAAGAGTTGTCCTCTAGCCTATCTCCCCAGCACTGTAAGCGCATGTGCCTTCAGATATGGTATATCATACACACATACAATGATAATAAATAAATAATTTTTGAAAGAAAGATCTAGAGAAAAACATCTGCAGGAAGAAATTGTGGAAAAGTTACTACAACTGGAGCTAGACTAACTAGAAGTTACATTATTCAGGGAAACCAAATAACTATCATTTAAATTTCTATCTCCTGAATTTGACTGACATCATTATCCAGTGAATGGATGAAAATGGACACTGGGGTTTTTAGGAGGCTCTGTTTGCTCGTATCAAACATGCATTACCACAAACACTGTCAGGTTCAAAAACCTAATAGTTCATGTTGTAAAGGAACCTGATGTCAAGCCTGATACCCTGACCATGCCCACTCACATAATACATGCCCACACATAGAAAGGTAAATGTAATTTTAAAATTTGTATTCTTTCATATACTAGGACAAAGATAATGGGAAGACTTCTGTGGTTGTGGGGACATGGAACCAAGAAGAGCATGTTGAATGGGCTAAGAAAAACACTGCTAGATCTTATCATCTTCAAGATGACGGCACCCAGACAGTCAGGTAAAGACTATTTGCCTTTAAAACTCAAAATATTGACATTAATTTTTTAAATATACAGAGCAGGACATGGTGTTGAACACCTTTAATCCCAGCACTTGGGAAGCAGAGGCAGGCAGATCTCTGTGAGTTTGAAGCCAGTCTGGTCCACAGAGTAAGTTCTAGGACAGCCAGGGCTACACAGAGAAACCCTATCTCAAAAAAAAAAAATTTTTTTTAACCACACAGGTAACATTTTAGATCAGTGTTATTTTAGGGGACAGCCTTTAGATTCCTTTCCTTTGGAGAAAGAAACAACCCAGGGTTAAGAACACAGTCATGAGCTGCACATGGTGGTACCCATCTTTATTTCCAGCCAGGGCTATGTAGGGAGACCTTGTCTCCAAAAAAAATCAATCAACCCACAGTCTTAGAGTTGGGCAACCAGGGTTCAAGTGCTGGCTGAGAAAATTATATAATCTGTAAGCCTCACTTGTCTATCCCTATTAGGTTTTGAGGGCATTTAAGTAAAGTAACCTATCCTAGTAATAACATTCAGTAAACTGCCTGCTGCCTTTAATAGTGATAGCGATAGTGATAAGATTGGCCTGATGGGTTTGGAGAGATGGCTCAGGGGTTAAGAGCACTGGTTCTTCTACCAAAGGATGTAGGTTCAATTCCCAGCACTCACATGGTGGCTCACAGCCATCTGTAACTAGTCCCATGGGATCTGATGCCCTCTTCAGGTGTGCAGATGTACATGCAGACAAAACACCCCAATACATACATGAATAAATATTAAAAACAAAAAATTTAAGGGGCTAAAAAGCACAGAGGTTAAGAGCACTTGCAGCTCTTCCATAGGTCCTGAATTCAATTCCCAGCAACCACATGGCTCACGACCATCTATAGTGGGATCTGATGCCCTCTTCTGGCATAAAGGTGTACATACAAATAAAGCACTCATACATAAAATAAATAAATCTTTTTTTTAATATTTTTGTTTGGTTTCGTTAAAGATTTTTTTTTTTTATTTTTATTTTGTGTGTGTGTGTGTGTGTTTGCCTCTATACGTGTGTGTGCACCACAGAGACCAGAAGAGGGTGTCAGATTTCTTGAAACTGGAGTTACAGGCATTTGTGTGCTGCCACATGAATGCTGGGAATTGAACCCAGGTCTGTAGGGGACACCTTAATCACACCTGCCAAGGCATGGTCAAGGTGATGTAGGGAAGGTTTAAGAGTGAGGGGCACGCACATGGGTGGCCCTTCTTCCGTTTTCATCTTTGGCTTGCTATACTTACTGCTGCCCTACCGGCTGGCTAGGTTGCTCTGTAAGTAAGGCTTTTCCCTAATAAATTCCCTTGTATTTTTACCTGACGCCGTATTGGTAATTCCCACAATACAGGTCCACTGAACCATCTCTCTGGCCCAGTTTTATTCTTCTGTGTAGTGATGGAGATTGAACCCAGGGCTTCGTGATTAACCATCATCCATGGTAGGCAAGCACTCTAATGCTGAGCCACCTCTCCACTTCTAGCAATTACTTGATTCAATTAGAACTAGGGCTCTTCTAAAGCATTTGTGTTTCTGAGTTTTTTAACTTGTTATTTCCCCTTGTTACATAGTTTTTGTGAGGTAGTGTTCACATACCCTTTGTGCTATGTGGGTATATTTTATTATTACCAGAAGTTAACTTTACTTCCCAATAATAACTAACTATGCTTCAGCTTTTCTTGTAGTCCCTTATCCAGTGAATTTAAAAGATTAATTCTTGTTCATTCTCAAATGTTAACTTTTGTTTCTTCCTGAAACAAATAGTATCAAGAAATTGCTTTTAAAATAATACTGACTTTTCAGGCTGACCAGAATCAAAGTTAGGAAAATTAAAATAGAGATATCTAAGCATTCAGTGTACTAGAGAGATTATTTTATCTTATGTTTCCTGAAGGGAAAAAAAAAAAACAAAAAAAAAACAGCTTTTAGCATCATGTGCTCAGCATTGAAGCCTAGAAGTGTGTGACTAGAAAACATCAAACTTTTCTTTGGCTATTGTTCAATTTGAAAGTTATACTTTGGCAGAGGCTTGCTTTTTTGTCCCACATACATAATAGTGTTTAATGGGATTAGCTTGATAGAAAACAGAAAGGAATAATAGTTTGACTAAATAAACAATATACTAGGTTGGAGAATGTGGGTAACTTTAAAACTGTAACTTTTATTACTTAGTTTTGTTTAATTCTTTTGTTGGTTGCTTGAGATAGGATCTTGCTGTTAGCCTTACTGGCCTCAAGTTCACAGCAATCCTGCACCATTACATTATCCTTCCAAGGGCTGGCATTAGAGGTGTTTGAGCCACCATACCAAACTCAAAAAGTTGAGGCTGACCCCTACGTAATATGGAGAGCATTAAGAAAGTTAGTACAAAGTCTCCTTGATTTGTATTTTCCTTATAGAATCTGACTTTGTGATGTAACCTCACTTACCCATTATAATTATTCTAATTAGTAAGACTGTAATAAAGCTTGTGTGCTTTCCAACTCAGGATGGTGTCACATTTTTATGGAAATGGGGATATTTGTGATATAACTGACAAACCCAGACAAGTGACCGTAAAACTAAAGTAAGTTGAATCCTTTTACCTACTTTTTGTTGACAAAAGTTTTACATAAGATATAATAACTAAATAACTTTTAAATTATGTTATTTAAAAGTTAAATTATACCGGTCGATTTAAATGTTTTCATATCTTAATAAGATAATAAAAATGCTGTTTTTTTTTCTGTGTGTGTGTGACATAGGCAGTACCTTAAAGTGCTCTGTGTTTTAGGTGTAAAGAGTCAGATTCTCCTCATGCTGTTACTGTGTATATGCTCGAGCCTCACTCCTGCCAGTATATTCTTGGGGTGAGTAAAACGAAAATAATTAAAAGTTCACTTAGGAGCTAAGTGGTAGAGCACGTATCTAGAGTGCAGGAGGTCCTGGATTCAATCCCAATACCAGCAAATGAAAAGAAATAAATTTTTGACATATTTGAATTTTTTTTGTTTAATCTACAAAAGGCAGTCTAAGAGTTAATAAGCATGTTTTTCTTTTGAGGTATAATTTACATAAAATGCACAAAGGCCTACTCGGTTGGAAGAGTGTTGGCCTAGCATGTATGAAGCCCCGGGTTCAATTCCTAGCACTTCATAAAACCAACCAAGCATGAAGACACATACATCTGTAATCCCATTGCTTAAGAGGTGGAGGCAGGAGGACAAGTTGTTCATAATCATCTTCAAGTACACAAAGAGGTCAAGGCCAGCCTAGCACACATGAGATAGTTTGATGATAGTTAACCATTTTAAATAGCCTTGTAAAATCACCTTAAAAAAGGTGTGTCACAAGCAGGAAATTCTCTGCTGCCCCATCACCAGAGGATACTTCTTTCTGATCTCTGATACATCTGATTTCTATAGATGAGGTGTACTTCATTTGGGATTCCACGTGAATGGAGTTCCCTTGTGTGCTTGGCTTTTCACACTCAGTTGTATTGAATGTATCAGTACTTCATTTTCTTTGTGTTGTAGATTATATTATTTTGTATAACTATACTATGTGTGCTTATTCTGTTGATGGACATTTGATTTGTTTTTCATTTTTTTGGGTGAAATGAATAAGGCTGCTATGAACTGTTTTCACATGTCTTTCTGTAGTTATGTTTTCATTCATTATGGGTAAATACCTGTGAGTGGAATTTCTAGGTCATTGGTAGAAATAAAGTCTACCAAATGATTCACCAAAATGCTAGTACAGTTTTAATCTACCAACGGTACATGAGAGTCCAGTTACTCCATCTCCTCACTAGCTTTATTTTCAGTCTTCTTTGTTAGTCATTTTAGTGGGTTTAGTTTGCATTCCTCATACAAATACTGATACTGAACACCGTTTTGTGTTATTATTGGCCTTTGTATACTTTTGTGAAGCCTTACATCTAACCAGACTTACTTACTTGTATATGTAATAAACAAATAAATCTTTTTTTAGAAGTATTATAGTTATAATCTCTTTGTATTGTACATACCTTTCTCATACTCTGGCAGCTTCACCCTTTTAAATGTCATCTAATAAGCAAAACTGTATTATTCTATTATGTTCAGTTTTTTGTTTTTGTTTTTTAATTTTATGGGTACTGCTTTTTTTGTGTCCTGAGAAGTTTTTGCTACCTGAGAGTCATGGAAACACTCTTAGATTTTTTTTCTAAAGACTCTATAATACTAACTTTGACTATGTTCTAAGCGTGCCATTTTTCTGTTCTTATCATATGAATTTTAAAAAAAATTTGGTTATTTATTTATTGTGTGTGGGTGTGTGTGTGTGTGTGTGTGTGTGTGTGTGTGTGTCTGTTTGTCTTGTTTTTTTGTTTCTGTTTTTTGAGACAAGGTTTCTGTGTGTTGCCCTGGTTGTTCTGGAACTCTCTTTGTATACCAGACTGTCCTCAAACTCACAAAGATCTGCCTGCCTCTGCCTCCCAAGTGCTGGAATTAAAGGTGCCCATCACCACCACACGGCCTGAAATTCTAATTAAACATTAATTTGAAATTGTTCAAAATCTCAGAAACTTCCTTTTATTCCCACTTCCACCACTACCCTGCCCTGTATTTAAATGTAAGTCATTTCTGTTAACCTTCACCAGTTTCACTAATCACTTCTTTTACCATGTCCAGTTTGTTGCTGAGTTTATCCATGATACACTTTCCGTCTCTTACTATCTCCACTGGATTCTTATGATTTCTTTTCCTCTACTTAAGTTCTCTCTGGTCACATGTTTATCTTTTTTTCCTAGTATGTGTTTAGCTTTTGTTTTGTTGTTTTGTTTTTGCACAGTAATGACAGCTGACTCATTTTTAAGTTAATGTTTACTTTGTCCTTTAAATAGAACTACTTATTTTGCTGTAATGTTTTACTGTTCTAGTTGTGTATACTGTGACTACAAACTCCACATATTCCCATCCTTTCTATCTAACATTGTTTCTGTTGCCGTATTTACTTAGAGACAAAAATATTTCTCTACCTATTTCATATTTTATATGAATGACTAAAAGTAGTTTTCCAATAATCTTTATTAATGCCAGGCATCGTGGAACCTGTCTGTAACCCAGCACTCAGGATTGCCAAGTGTTCAAGGCTAGCATGATCCTAGCTAGCCTTTATTTATCCAAAATAAAAAAAGAGCTTAATTTGTAGGTAAAATGTTGGGTGGTTTATCCAAATCAAGAACTTATACAGTTAGCAAATATATTCATTGAGGAGAAGATACTGTTTCTAATGTCATTGTTGTTGTTCTTCAGGTTGAATCTCCAGTAATCTGTAAAATCCTAGATACAGCAGATGAAAATGGACTTCTTTCTCTCCCAAACTAAATTAAAATTGAAGGGAAGAAAGATGATTCAAAGTCCTTGCTTCCTCCTGACCATTGGACCCTGTCTACAGTATCACATGAAAGGACTGGCAACCTCGCTGTGAAATACATGTGTATATAAGAGGTCATTGATAAACTTATAAGGCAGACATTTGTCTCACTTCATTTATTTTGGTGTTACATGAATTGATTTCGTTTTGACTTTGCTTGGATAGTGTGTGATTTCAAAATCTGATTCAAGCAGTTTAGCCTTCACCCCATCCAAATGTCATAATCTTGTACTTGTTGGAATACTTTTAAGTATTATACTTATTGTGTAAATTACAGCATATATAATGAGCTAAAGAAGTAAAGATAATGAAGAGAAGTTGCTAGGAGAGAAAATGTGTGCAATTCTAATGCCTGAGATGCTCTCAACAAACTTTTCTGCTGCAGTTGCTCCAGGCAGGCACTGAGCTAGAAGTGGGGACAGAGTAGAGCCTCACAGATAACCCCACACCACTGGGATCTCAAGAAACTCTTTTATGATTATTCTTATAAATGAGTTTATTACCAGTGTATAGGTTGGTGTCTTCCTTAAATTAGAATGGTTCATTCTAAAACTCACTGTGATGGCTCTCTATTGTACCTGCCTGCTGTATATTATAAATCATATTTCTGGATAGTTTTACAGCGTAGTATTTATTTCAAAGAGAATAAAATGTTCATAAGCAGTCTTTTCATGTAATCAGTGACCAATTATTCAGTTCCTTTATTTTCTCCTTTATCCTTTTGCGTATATTTTGTACATACCTGTCTGAACAAGGACAGAAAAGTAGTTATAAGGGGCTGGGGTGCAGGTAGCTCAGAGATAGAGCACATTAGCATGTTTGAGACCCTGGTTCAACCTCTAGCACCTAAAATAAAGAGCTGGATGTTGGGGTTCATGCCTTTGTTCCTAGCACTCAGTAGGCAGATGAACAGGGATCAAAAAGTTCAAGGTTAACCTGGCCTATATGGCCAGTTCTCCACCAACCAAGGCTACAAAGTGGGAACCTAACTTAAAAGTCAAAACAAAAAGAAAATGTGGCCAGAATATTCCTGAAAAACAATTCCTCTGATAAAATCTATATTAAGAAAGGGTTTGTGGCCAAGCCTAGTGGCATATACTTTGTAATACTAACACTTGGGGGGTAAATACAGGAAATCCAGAAGTTCAGGGTCATCCTCTGCTACATAGTAAGTTTGAAACCAACCTGGGCTGCAAGAAACTTTGTCTCAGAAGTAAGTAAATAAATTCCATAATGGCTGGGGGAGTTTAGTGCTAAAGCGTTTGCCTACTGTAAGACCCTAAGTCCATGCAGTCTAGAACAGTCTAGAACATCACCCTTTGGTTTGTGATGCCTTTGGAGGTTGAATGAGTCTTTCACAGGGTCACCTAAGACCATCAGAAAACATAGATACTTATATTACAATTCATAAGAGTAGCAAAACTACAGTATGAAGTAGCCACAAAAAAATAATTTTATGGTTGGGTGTAACAAATCTTTTTCTGTCCCAACAGCCAGCTCCCAAATAACACCATGGAGACTTATTAATTATGAAAGCTTGGCATATAACATAGGCTTGTTCCTAACTGGCTCTTATAACTTAAATTAACCCATTTATATTAATCTACGTTCTATCACGTGGTGTTACCTCTTTCCCATCTTGCACCTCCTGTTTCCATGTCTCTTGGTCTCTTTTCCACCTAGATTCCTCCTCCCTTTCTTCTCCCATAAATCTCACCTATACATCCTGTCTAGCTATTGGCTGTTCAGTTTTTTACTACGGCAATCATAGCAATACATTTTCACACAGTGTACAGATATCCAACAGTTGGGAGTCACCACTTCACAAACGGCCAAAGTGTTAGAAAGGTTGAAAACCACAGCTCTAGAAGAAAAACAAATGTGTGGCTGGGCTGAGGGCAGGGGATGCAGCTCATTTAGATACACTGCCTAGCATGCGCAAGATCCTGGATTCCATCTCTAGCACAGCACAAGAAAAGGAAAAAAAGGTAAATGGCTAGAAATAATAACATAGTGGCTTAACCCCAGCACTTACAAGGCTGAGGCAGAGGGGTGCCACGGAAAAGGCAGGGACTCGAGTTTAAACCTAGGTCCACACCCTCTCTAGTTTATTATAAATGATATTGAGAAAAAATTCACTTCCTACATAGCATAGAATGCCCCAGGTAACCAAAAAATATATGGACAATTTTATTCTATAGCAACCAAATTCATCACCTTTAGGTATCCTACAATTCATTTAGTTCTTACACTTGGATTTAGCATCATCAAACACCACAAATAAAAGGATTCAACCTCACAAGGCTGCCCCCACATCAAATGCCAATTGCAAGTACTGGATTCTATTTTTTTATTTTATTTATTTTTTACTTACATGTATATATGTGGATCTGTTTGCCTATATGTACACCACATGCGTGCAATACCCATGAAGGCCAGAAAATGACAGTGGGTCCTCTGGAACTGGAGTTACAGTTGTGAGCCACCTGATATGGGTGCTGGAGATTGAACTCGGGTCCTCTACAAGAACAGTAAGTGCTCTTTACCACTGAGTCATCTTTCCAGTCCCTGGATTCTAATACCTTCAATCAGCCAGCTAAATATATAGTAGTCTCAAGCTGTACTACTTGGTCTCAAAAGATTGCTAGAATGGCTCACAGAACTCTGGTAAATATTTGGTTTACCAGTTATAAAGGATACAGTACTGATACAGTCAAATAAGGCAAGGAAGTTGCAGCAGGATTCAGCTTCCACACCCTGCCTGTACTGCCTCAGTCTACTGCTCTGGGCACCCTTTGTATCTCAAGAGTTCAAAGATATATATGGTATAACCGCCTGTGGGGCCAGCCTCCAGCAGCACAGGGCTTAAATAGAATCCACAGAGTCGGTGAGTACTATGGCTTTTTTATCTGAGGGGTTAAGGGATAAAGACACACACTCTTGATGATGTCCTTCAGACTTTTTTTTTTTTTTTTTTTTTTTTTTTTTTTTTTTTTTTTTT